GGACACGACTAGAAATCAGTGGTTAAGTTGTATTTACAACACTGTTCCAGCAGGGGCGCAACTGCACATTTGTCGAGGGGTATGCAAGATCAGTGTCGGTGCCCCCCGTATTCTAGTAGCCTCTAACACTAACTCACAAAGAAAACTTTCTGCAAGTCAATGACCAAAAGCCCATTCACCAGCTTGTGCATGGAAGGATACAAACTCATCAGGAGTGAAAAAAGTGACAAAGGTTTCAACCCCCTTCCCCCTTTTTTAATACCATAGGGAAAAAGTGAAAAGTAAAAACGAGAAAAAAAAAAGAAAAGTGTGTCACATAACATTCCCTGTAACGAATATTGCACGAGTATTGCAGGGGGGGCGCGGGTCATCAGCAGAAAAATAAAATAAATAAAACAGTAAAAAGCCAAAGGACGTTACTTAGAATGGGAGATGGATCGGTTTGTGAAAGGGAAGAGGAAAGCCATAGATGAAGACAAAAAAGTTTGAGAACCACCCCTTTAACTCCTGATGGCAGACCCCAGACAGTAGAACACATTTTTTTCATTCATTTTTATTTTCAAACACATGTAATATTGCTCACTTTTTAGTTAGGTAATTTGAATATATATATATATATATATATACATTTTTATATGCACATTTTTATATAGTAAAATTTATTCTAAAGAACATCTGCATTTTTTTTTTACTTAAAGAGATAATTCATGGAAAATTTGCCATGCTAAGTGGAATATTTCTGCTAAGATTTCACCTGGTAGAAAAACAAATACTATTAAATGAATGTCATGATTCCCACTATGGCCACTAAATGGCAGCAGAGGATCATTTATTGTTTCCTTTACCATTTCCACTCTGTAATATAGTTCTTTTCTCATGTTTTGCTAATGGATTTATATTTAGACATTATAAAATCTCTATTACAACATTTAAAAATCTCTTTTTTGCCCTCTTCGTCAGTGGCAGAGCCAGGATGTTTTCATAGGGGTGGCCAGGAAGGGGGCAGCAACCAGTCTGGGGTGGCACAGAAATCTTCATTATTTCAATATAGAAATGTATCTGACAATAAAGTACTGGACTGTTTTAGTGCCTAAAACACAACTGAATACAATTAATTTGTACTTAATTGTAATTGAGATAGTTGTGAATTACATCAAGTAATACTGAATGAATGACAATTTTTGTATTATTTTGGAAGCCTATTACCTAGACTCCAGGTATTTTAAGAAAAGCTTTATTGCTCAGTAAGCTTGGTTCTGGGTCTTAACACCCCAAAATCTTGTTCTCCATCATTGCATAGGCCCACTCATGGATGAGACATGCAGATAACTATAGTCTCTTCATTATTTCAATATAGAAATGGATTTGACTATAAAATACTGGACTGTTTCAGTGCCTAAAACACAATTGAATAACTGAATTAATTTGTACTTAATTGTAATTGAGATAGTTGTGAATTACATCAAGTAATACTGAATGAATGACAATTTTTGTATTATTTTGGAAGCCTATTACCTAGACTCCAGGTATTTTAAGAAAAGCTTTATTGCTCAGTAAGCTTGGTTCTGGGTCTTAACACCCCAAAATCTTGTTCTCCATCATTGCATAGGCCCACTCATGGATGAGACATGCAGATAACTATAGTCAACCTTCACTGAATTTTATATAATCAATGAACTCTGAAAAAGTTATCAGTCAATGTTTAACATTCTATTAGTTGTCAAAATGAATTCACTGCAGTACTTTTGTCATACTTAAATCGAGCTCTTTACAAAGGAAAATAATGTAAGAATGTAAAATGAGTTATTTCATGCATTTAAATATGGTTTCATTTTCTTTTCATTTTCGTACTTTACAAATTAAGGAAAAATTTGCGCATATTTTCTAGTACATTTAACTGCACTGTGCTCACATTTGGCCTACTTGTGCATTAAATAATAAATAAAAAAATTACATAGCCTATCATCTTGCGCCCTACTGTGATCTCGAATTGCAGAATATTTCAGTAGGCTGCATGCATTTGAGAGACGTTCTTAAATGTAATGCACATACATGCATGCACAGTTTTGCATTTCGTGCAAGTTTCGTGACTTAACTGACGATGTATGCTCGCAGTTTCTAGTCCGGTTTATTTATGAAGTGAGCGTGCGCCTCATATTCGCTTACAGTCGAAGAGCGTGCGCCGTGAGCACAGTAAAACGGCTGACAGGACAGGAAAGTTTGTTTTACTGACATATAACAATATTTCATCAGACCGCAGTTCCCTGTTGCTCATTTGGCACCTGTAGCCTACCTTTTCCACGCTTGTTTGACTTGAGCCTGGTGCTGAGGGCAAGCTGAAGTGCGTGTCTAAAAAGTCTCCCGTTTGTTGTGGTCGCAAGGAGATACGGCCATTCCGCGTCTTAATACGTTTTTAATAAATAAATTTTTGAACTCATTAAAATTCTAAAAACCATTAAAGGGATCACTATGGAGGACTGTTTCCTGATCCTGGGAGAGTAGACTACAATGCCAGCTGTTCTAACTCACAGTCTTTAAGTACGTTTTCATAATTAAAGAATTTGCCACTAAAATAATGTTATTTTTAGCAACATCATATGACCCCTTTAAGGTAGGAAGACACTGCATTGTTGCAGCATCGTTCCCCTCAGAGAGAGTCTGTGAGATGAGGAATCGCATCAGCACATCCAAGCTGAGGCATCTGATATTTCTGAATGCCAATCTGCACTATAAAGTGTCTTAATTTTAAGACTTTTGCCTTTATTTATTTGATTTGTTTGCTGTGGTGCTGCGTTCAATTGTTTAATTAAAGTTTTATTAAAATGTTAAATAATAGTAACTGCTTTTTTTTTTTACAAAAAAATGCCTAAAAATAAGGCTTTTATAAAAACACGGAATAAAAAATTGCTTACCAACACACAAACCATTCACAATTGCTTAATTGGTCTAAAATAGAAGGCTCAGAGTGATACTAAATGAAGAGCCATTTGGGAGCCGTAAAAGCCGGCTCTTCTAAGGGAGCCGAGCCAAAAGAGTCGAATCTTTGAAAAGAGCCGGACTTCCCATCACTAATTTGTGAGAGGAATAGACGCGATCGCTGTCTCCGTCTACTGCAAAGCTCATCCTGTGTGCTACAGTCTGTGTGCAAATTCAAAAGAATGCCGCCAGAAGAAACTTTACATCAGCCTTGGTTGTGAAATGCTATTGGGCTCTTGTGTGTATCTTTTTGAATGAGATGTGAGTGCGTTAACAGAGCGGGATGATTTTCAGCAATAAAACCTTATGTTTTACGCTCTTCTTCGCATAAAGACATCGTATGGCTTCAGAAGACTTGGAATGCAACACGACTTGTTTGTAATGCTTTTATACTGCTTGTTCATGGTCAGTTTTTGCAATAAATAACTGTGACTGCACTTATATTTGCCTGTTACGTGATTTATATTGTTCAGAAGTGGATAGGTTTAGGGTAGGGGTACCCTACCCTAGGTAGGGTGCTCCAATGAAAGTATAAATTTATATAAAATGATTTCTATTCTTTACAAATGCATGCAAACCATTAAAGGGCACCTATTATGCCCCTTTTTACAAGATGTAATATTGGTATTGGGTGTCCGCAGAATGTGTTTGTGAAGTTTCAGCCCAAAATACCCAACAGATAATTTATTATAACAGCTGGAAAATGTCATTTTTGGGGTGTGTCTAAAAAAGAGCTGTTTTGGAGTGTCACTTTAAATGCAAATGAGCTGCATATTCCTGTCTGTCTCCAGAAGAGGGCGTCGTGTATATGTCTCTCTGCATTGCATATCTACAACAATAAACACAGCCGGTAGAAGCAACATGACTGAGAGCGAGAAAACGGGTGTTCAGCTGCAAAGCCAAATGCATTGAAAGTGGGACGAAACAGCGCTATG